GTCTTTCTGGCCTTCGGGCTGGGGCTGGGCCTTATCGAGGAGAAGCAGGCAGAGGGCCGGCGGGCGGCCTCGGCCTGTCAGGAGATCCAGGTGAGCGCTGGCCGCGGGCGGGGAGGGCCGGGGGCGGGACCCGGAGTCCGGCTAGGGGCGGGGCCTTCAGCCGGGGCTGGGCTAGGGTGTGGGCGTGGTGAGGGGCGGGGGGGGGCGTGGTCCTGAGCTGGATGGGGCGGGGCTAGGGTGTGAGCGTGTGGGGCGGAGCTGGACTAAGGTGTGGGCGGGGTCCTGAGCTGGATGGGGCGGGGCTAGGGTGGGGCGTGGTGGGGGCGGGGCTGGGAGGCATTTACTGATTGGGGCCCTGGGTCAAGATTTACCTTTGTAGGAGCCAGCAATTCCTCGGAAATCACCGATTCAGGCTCATTTTCAGTGTAACTGATCCTCTGCTACGGGGTCAGCACCTCACATTTGCTTCACTGTTTTCCCTTCCTCAAACAGCATGTTTTGGAAGATATGCTGCTAATTGTAGCTCCTGTTGCACCATGGCTAACGGCTTTGTGTAAATTTTCTAAAATTTAATGACAACTAAATCATAACACTTCTGTCACTGAGGTAGTTGTCATCCCCAATTTATGGATGAGGAAATGTACTCAGAGTGGTGAAGTAACTTGCTCGAAGTCACCCAGCTAATAAAGAGTGGTGCCCAAAGTCTGACTCTCCAAAGCCTGTGCCCTTAACAACTGGGCCAGCCAGGCTGCCTCCAAAGTTTGGCCAAACCATTAGTGACATAGCTGAAGCCGCAGTAAAAACCATGAACAGCAGGAGAAAACATCAGACATGACGATTTTTAGTTAAGCTGTGCAGAGTTATCAGGGGTGACTAGATATATAGGGGTTCTTAGGCTTTTTAAATGTTTAAAATAGCTCAGAGACCTCTGTTTCTACTCAACCAAAGTCTGTATTAATTAGAGTTCTCAGGAGAAACAGAACCAATAGGGTGTGTTTGTAGAAAGAGATTTATTTTAAGGAATTGGTTCTGCAATTATGGAGGCTGGAAAGTCCAAAATCTGCAGGGCAGGGGGGCAGGCTGGAGACCCAGGGAAGGGCCAGTGTTGCAGTTCAAGTCTGAAGGCCGTGTGCTGGCAGAATTCCCTCCTCTTCCCAGGAGGTCACTCTTCTTCCTGGGGTTTGGAAGCACTTGCTGAGTTGGTACAGCGCCTGCGTTTGACAGCTTAGGGCCGAGGTGGTGGAAGATGGAGTGACTTGCCCGAGGACACAGCTGGTTGAGGACCAAGCAGCGTCTCCCATGTGTCCTGGTTTCCAGCCCAGCTCTTGTTATTCATCACCAGAGCGTCTCATGTTTGAGCTCCGGCCAGTTTGGGGTGGCAGGTAACCCACTGTCCTTGTCTTTTGCTACAGCTTAACTGACAGAAGCCAAGAGTGGGAAACTTGACAAATCTGGCTTTAAATTACGGAGGCTTTTTTCAGCTGAGGAGCTTGACCCTCCTAAGCTTACCATCTACACATCCTTTTCTCACAGTTTACCCTCCTGTGCCTTAACATTTTTAGTTAGTTGCCAGTTAATTTTTAAAATTCACGTGTTTGACTTCTTTTGAAAAAAATCACCAGATCTGGCAACTCTAGAGCTAAAATTCCATATGGTGTCAAACTGGACTAGAATAGTGACTGCTCCCTTTAGATGGAGGCATGTGGGAAAAAACCTAAGTATAAAATAGGCAAAAGACATATATTTCACCAAGAGGAGATACAGATGCCAAATAAGCATATGAAAAGATGTTCAACATCACTAGCCGTTAGGGAAATGCAAATTAAAAACACAATGTGATGTCTCTACATACTTATTAGAAGAAAATAAGTATAAAAAATAGTGGAATACCAAATGCTTTTGAGGATGCAGAGAATCTGATGGTGAGAATATAAAATTGTACAGCCACTCTGGAAAATAGTTGGCAGTTTCTTTACAGAACTAAACATGCATTTACCATATGACCCAGCCACTGCAGTCTTGGGCATTTACCCAGAGAATTGAAAACTTATGTTCATGAGTAGCTGTTATGGAAAACAATAGGCAGCTCCCCCCAAAATTAAAAATAGAATTATCATATGATCCAGCAATTCCACTTCTGGGTGTAATAAACTCAAAAGAATTGAAAGCAGGGACTTGAACAGATATTTGCACACCCATGTTCATAGCACCATTATTGATAATAGTCAAAAGGTGGAAGCAACCCAAGTGTCCATCAATAGATGAATAGGTAAGCGAAATGTGGTATATACATACAATGGAATATTATTCAGCCTTAGAAAGGAAGGAAATTCTGGCACATGCTACAACATGGATGAACTTTGAGGACATTATGCTAAGTGAAATAAACCAGTGACAAACAGGCAAATACTGTATGATTCCACTCATATGAGGTACTTAGAGTAGTCAAATTCATAGAGACAGAAAGTAGAATGATGGCTACCAGGAGCTGGAGGGGGAAGGGATGGGGAGTTGTTGTTTAATGGGTATGGAATTTCAGTTTTACAAGATGAAAAAAGTTCTGGAGATGGATGGTGGTGATGGTTGCATAACAATGTGAATGTACTTAATGCCACTGAACTGTACACTTAAAAATGGTTAAAATGGTCAATTTTATGTATATTTTACCACTGTTCTTAAAAATAAATTTTTAAACCCTGTACATGAATGTTCATAGCAGCATCATTCATAATAGCAAAATATTAAAAACAACCCAAATGTCCTTCAGCAGGTGAATTGTTAAACTCTGGTACATCCATACAATGGAATACTAAGCAATAATGGGAATGAATCAACTATTGATACAGGTCACAACCGAAATGAACCTCGAGGACATTATGCTTACTGAAAAATATCAGTCCCAAAGTTACATAGTGTGATTCCATTTATATACCTTATTGAAATGACAAAACTATAGAGAATAGATCTGTGATTGCCAGGGGACAGGGACGGGGTAGGGGTGGTGCAAATACAAAGAGGTAGCACCATGAGTTCTTTTGCGGTGATGGAACAGTTGTCTGTCTTGATTGTGGTGGTGATTACACGAGTCTGTACACGGGATAAAATTGCGGAGAGCTACACACTCACGCATGCACACACGCACACGAGTGAACGCAGGTTAAAAAAATGGTGAGAACTGAGTCAGGTCTGTAGTCTAGTTAACAGCAGTATACCAACGTCACTTTCCTGGGTTTGATATTGTACTAGTGCTATATAAGATGTCACCATTGAGGGAAACTGGATGAAGAGTACACAGGACACTTTGTACTATTAGTTTGCGACTTCCTGTGAGTCTATAATTATTTCAAAACAAAAATTTTTTAAAAATCGTCTTCTCAAAACCGCGGCATTAAAGGTTTACTCTACGAGATATTGCTTCCGCTCCGTGGAGTTTAGAAACTAGTTGGCAGGGCAAGATAGACTTTCATTTTTAAAAAACGTTAAAAGTTATGATGCAAGGTACATTAGCCTACAGATACTAAGTGCTTTAGGAATCCTCCAGAAGGTAACGTGGCTGTGGGCTGGGTTGTCAGGGCTGGTTACAGAGGAAGGAGCAGCCAAGTTGGGACTGGATGGATGCGTAGGGATGAGCCAGGCAGAGCACTACAGTAGAAATAGGGGCGGGGGAACAGTGTGAGCTAGGATTCCAAGAGAGGCATGAAAGATGAGTATGGACCGTGCACAGACCAGCCTGGCGAGACAGTTTTCACAGGAAGGAAGTACCAGGACAAGGTACTGAATAACCTATTGGTTAGGTTTTTGAACAGAAGAGTGACACGGGAAAGCGATGTGGTTTCATCTGCCTTAGAAGCAGGTGGAGGGATGTCATGAGAGTGGGCAAGTCTAGAGGTAGATGACTAATCATGGAAAGGAAGGGATCAGTGACAGGATTTGAGGAAGAAGGCGGAGCCTGGGGGACTGGAGAAATGATGTCACCCGCCTGAAGTAGGGAAGGACCCTGATTTTGGGGAAATAGGCTCTTTCCCAGTGCATCCCCACAGCAGTACCTGCATTTCCATCTGTTTCCATCAGGACTCTGGTACTCTTGCTTCGTTTCTGAAAACAGCATGGGCCCACCAGATTCCTAAGAGGTAGAGACAGGAAGACAGGACTTACTGACCCAGCTCCAGGGACCCTCCTGATTTCACCCTCCTGCCTGCAAAAGCAACCTGAGATCATTCACAGTGGAGAAGTGGCTCGGCCACACGCTCCTGCCCATCCACAGCTCCTGGTAACCATCCAGTAGCTGCCTGTCAAGGTCTTTGCAGAGAGAGCTGTCAGAAACCTCCAGGGTTGTGCTGGGAGCTTGACAGGCAGCAAAGGAGTGGTGTGCCAACTGCAGAATTTAGGAGTTCTGACCTCTTAACTAATTCACAATGTTCTGTGTTGGGCGGTCTCTATGGTTGCAATGAAGCAACAGTTTGAGAAAAATTATTCGGAATAATGAGAGAGAAAGGCAGGATGGCCTGTAAAACCCAATTCGGTTGTGTTTTTATTAGCTCTTGATCTTGTCAGTGAAGACCTTGCCTCACTATACCTCCCCTTCCCTGTTTCCCTTTCCTTGAGCCTGCCTACGCTCCCTGGCTCACGGGGCATGCTTTTCTCCTCACAGGCAATTTTTACCCAGAAAAACAAGCTGCTACCTGACCCGCTGGACACTAGACGCTGGCAGGGCTTCCGGCTGGAGGAGTATCTGATAGGGCAGTCCATTGGCAAGGGCTGCAGTGCTGCTGTGTATGAAGCCACCGTGCCTGTGTTGCCTCAGAACCTGGAGGTGGCCAAGAGCATCGGGCCTCTTCCAGGGAGAGGCCCAGATATCACTCTACGAGGAGAAGAGGAGCGAGCTCCACGGGCCCCTGCCTTCCCCTTAGCCATCAAGATGATGTGGAACATCTCGGTAAGGAGGGGGCCTTTCACCTTTAGAGTAAGCATTTCTTAAAGTACCAATCTTGGTGGACCAGTGGCGCTTTTTCCCAGGAAGTAGATACGCAGATTCTCCCCAGTACAGGGGCCCATATAGTTAGGCTGCCTCACCCTCTCACACAAGAGTCTGAAGCAGAGTGTCTCAAATTGTAATATGTCCATGAATCACCTGGGGATCAGGTTAAGAGGCAGATTCTGATCCACTGGTCTGGGGGTCCCTGAGAGTCTGCCTTTCTGACAAGCCCCCAGGGGAGCCCCTGCTGCTAGTCTGTGAGCCACACTTTGAGCAGCAAGAGCCCAAACCACTGGTTTCTAATCTGTCAGTGCTGATCAAGTTATTTAATTTCAGGGGCTTGCAGGGTGGCATAGCAGTTAAGTTCATGAGCTCTGCTTCAGTGGCCTGGGGTTCGCAGGTTTGGATCCCGGGCGTGGACCGACGCACTGCTTGTCAAGCCATGTTGTGGCAGCGTCCCATATAAAGTAGAGGAAGATGGGCACAGATGTTAGCCCAGGGCCAGTGTTCCTCAGCAAAAAAAAAAAAAAAAAAAAGAAGAGGATTGGCAATGGATGCTAGCTCAGGGCTAATCTTCCTCACACACACACACACACACACACACACACACACACACACACACACACACAAAAGTTAATTTCAGGTCTGCATTTACCACCCTCCTCTCTCTTTCCCTTGACCTGCCTCACTGGAGAGGAGGGGCCATACCTTTCCTCTAAACTCACCCTGCCACCTCACCTCCAGATCAGAGGCTTGCATGTCACCCCCCTGCCCTTAACTCTTGGCGGACTCAAGGCTTTGGGAAATTGAGTATTTTTCCCCCACAAAAACAAAGATTTCTGTCTATTTAGAGTAATTTCTTTACTTTGCCGTTACATAGGTGGGTTTAGAAAATTCAAGAACTGACGTTCTGTCTCCTGCCCAGAGCGTCTGTCCAAGGTTCAGGTGGAAAGTGCCACAGCAGCTCATGCTGGACAGTGAAGAATGCAGTTTCTTGTTTTGATTTTGGGAATGAAGGTTATTAGAGTGTTGCACTTCCAAGCGGGGTTAATAGCCAACAAACAGCCAAACCCTTTGCCTCTGAAACATCCAGTCTTAGCATCAAAACTTCCACTGGCTGGGACGTGACAGCTGTTGCATTCAAAAAAGCTAAAAGACTTGGTTCTTCCAGGAGCTTCTCAATACTTAACAGGTTTCACAGGTCCTGAGAGCCATAAATAATGAAATGAGGAAAATAAGGTGCTTTTCCTCCTCTTTGGTTGGTTGGTTGGTTGGTTGGTTGGTTTTTTACTGAGGGATGGGGAAGGCTGGTCTGTGATTCAGCACAACTTTATCTAGGGTGGGCTTGTCGGGCTCTGGCCTGTCTGCTGAAGGGAGCTTGCAAGGATGAGTCTTAATGATCTAGTGGTCAGTTTCAAGCCCAGTGGTGACCAGAGGCATCTGTGGCAGGAAGAAGGGTTCCGTGCTCTGATCATCTTGACTCTCGTCCTGCCCTGGGCACCTGAGCTGCCAAGAGTTTGAAGCCTGGGAAGCATCCTCTGAGTTGGCATGGATGGCACCTATGCCCTCTCTCCCAGGAGAAATTAGTCTTGGCTTGCCACTTCAGAGGTTATCTTATCTTGAAGGTGAAAGCCAGGTCCAGGCAGTAGCTGCCCTGGTCCAGATTACGAGGAGGGCTTGGACTTGCCATTCCACTTGGGTCTGTATAACCCTGGATTCATTATGGATGTGTTCCAGGCGGGCTCCTCCAGCGAAGCCATCTTCAGCACAATGAGCCAGGAGCTAGTCCCAGCTAGTCGAGTGGCCTTGGCCGGGGAGTATGGGGCAGTCACTTACAGGTAAGCACCCATCTGTCCACTGGCTGTGAGTTCTTTGAGAGCAAAACCATGATCTGTGTCCTCAGCACTCAGCACAGTGTCTGACACGACACGCAGTAGATGATAAATGCTTACTGAGTGATGTCATTAATGGATGTTCAGTTGGTGGATAATTAACTTGAGAAAGATTGCAGATCATCTGACTCTAGCTGAAGATGCTGATTCACACTGGAGCAGGGAGAGAAGGCCATCCCAAAATGCCCAATTCAGAATGTGGGAAAACTGATCGGATTTCCGATTCCTCCTACGTACCGCCCAGGTGGAGCAGCACCTATCAGTACAAACTGAACTCTGCCTGCAGCGGAGGTAACATTTATTCCACTAATAGCTGCAGTGCACCTGATGGTGCCAAGAGATTAAAAAAAGAAAACAACACAAACACGGCCTGTTCCCCCAGTGTTCTCTGTGTGGCAGAGGAGCCTGTCAAGTGGGGAGAAGAGTCCAGTGTGTTAAGTGCTGGAATAGTGTATGCGCAGGTGCTGAGGGAGCCCAGAGGTGGTGTGTGCGTTGCAGGGGTGGGGGCCATTCAGAAAGGCCTCTTGAGGGACAATTTGTGCTGCCTTTTGAAGGATGAATAGGCGTTACCTAGGCAAAGAAGTAGGAAAAGCGACATTCTCTGCAGAGGGAAGAGCCGGTGGAGGGCAGCCTGCGCTCACAGCAGCTTTGTAAATCCCCTGTCTACAGGTGGTCGGGATTAACCCTTGAGCTCATGACAGAGGAGACACTGTGCTCCCTTTAATATTTGTAGACCACCAGGAAGAGGTGGGCCTGCCTCATTTTTGGTGATTTACTAGAAGGTTGGTTTATAGATCTAGTTCTGTCAGAAGCCGGAAGGTAGAAATAGAGACTTGAGATATCCGTGGAAAACCCCTGCCATGGCTTGGAAGGCTCCAGAATGACTGAGGGTCTGTGCAGGCCAACAGAGGCAGCTACTCGGTGGGCTTAGCACTGTCATCCTCTTCTTCTTACTCCTCTGTAGGGAGAAGTGGAGGTCTGAACGTCAGCTGCTTTGGGGGCTAAAATTATCCTGAGGTGGCTCCTCCTCTGGCATTAGCCTCAGCCGGCTGACATGGTGCTGTCATACTGCTGTGCGCACGACGATGTCTCTGCCACAGAGCCTGCCCAGACCTCCCATCTGAAGTCGTCCCTGTCACTCTCCAGTCCTTTACCCTGCTTTCGTTTTTTCACAGCTGTTATCACCGTCTGAGCTTAAATCGTAGCTGTCTTGGTCTGTGTATTCACTGGCTCTGCAGCTGTACTCCAAGCTCTCTGAGGGCAGGGCTCTTATGGTTTGTTTGCTACGCACCCTCACAGCTCAGTAAATGTCTGTTGAATGATTAGATGAATATGGCAGAAGGCCTGTTACCTAAAGTACTGGTGACATCTAACACTCTCAGGAGAAACACTCTTCCCCGGGAGCACTCTGAGTGTATTTCTGCCTAGCCTTTGCTCACCTAGGGACCTCAGACTCAGCCCCTTGTGATCTGCTCCTCTCACTTCTTCTCCCACCTGATTTCTGTTCTTGACCCAGTTACACCCTATGCTCCACCAGACTGAATTCACACTGCCCTCCCCCGAATGCACCCAACTCCTCTATGACTATCTTCTGTGCATGCAGTTAGCTATGCTTGGGCTGCCCTCCCCACGGCCTCCTGTCCCATTCCAGGTCTCAGTTTAAACACACCCACATGCACGCATCTCCCCAGCACAGCCACACTCTTCCTCTGGGCTCCTGTGACCACTGGGCAGAGCTTTCCTTTCGTGGCACTGACAGCCTGGACCTGTGATCTGACTCTCCCACCAGCCCCAATGGCCCAAGGGTAGGAACAGTGCTTGATTCATTGGATTGCACAGAACAGGGGCCCACTCGGGTGGACTTGAGGAGGAGCAGTAGAAGGCCACACATGGGCTGGATCTACAGAGCTCAGGAACAGGGGTGCCTCTGAGGACAGGGCGGGCATCTTGCTCCCTCAGTGTTGCCTTGCTGTCTCTGGGCTTCTGCTCCATTCTCTTCTCCCTGCCACCAGCATCCTTATTCTGACCCCATGGCTCTTCTGCTCCTGCGTGCCTTTGGCTTGCACACCTCTTTGGCTTTCCATGGCCCCATTCGTCTCGTGGCGTCCTTTCACCTTCAGCTCTGTTGCTGACGGCCACGTTACTGCCATGTTGCATCATTCGCACCCCTCAAAGGGAGAATCTAACTGGCCCCCTTCTTCTTTACTGCCAACCATTTGGATCTCAGATGTGACTGCAGGCTCGTTGCCCTGGGGTCAGGTGCCCACCCTTGGTCCAGTCAGCTTCAGTTGAGGGCGGGGCTGATACACTATAGGCAGAGTCACACAATCCAAAACATGGCCACTGTGCCTCAGCAGGGCTGTGGGTGGGGGCTCCTGGAGGAGGAGGGGTGCGCAGGGCAGGCAGGTAACAGATCTGCTATGAACTGGGCCTGTATCCATTCATTCATTCACCAAAGGCTTATTGAGCTCATACTCCACGCCAAGCGTTATGCTAGAACCTGGAGTCACGGGGATTCTAGGTCCTTCACGATATCAACAACCTTCTGAGGTGTGTTACTACCGTACTCCCCTTTGCATTTGGGACTGAGCCCAGAGAAGTTAAGTAACTTGACCAAGGACTTACAGGGGCAGACCTGGAATTCAAACCCAGGCAGCCTGATTCCAAGGTCTCTTAACCGCTGTGTTCTGCCACATGGGGTGGATGGACGAGTGGAGTCATCAAATGGGATGAGTCCTCTTTATGGGTTTTTTTCCCTCCAACACCAGGCTCTGCACGTGGCACACAGCAGATCTTCAGTGAATAGCTGATAAATAATATTTAGTGTGTGAATAAATGAACGTCAGTATTTATTGTGGCCTTAGATAATTATCTTTCCAGCTGTTGTATCTAATACTGGCCTCATACGTTTGTCCCATTTGGCTTAAATAGAAAATCCAAGGGAGGTCCCAAGCAACTGGCCCCTCACCCCAACATCATCCGGGTCGTCCGTGCCTTCACCTCACCTGTCCCACTGCTGCCAGGGGCCCTGGTCGACTACCCTGATGTGCTGCCCCCACGTCTTCACCCCGAAGGCCTGGGCCATGGGCGGACGCTTTTCCTCGTTATGAAGAAGTAAGTGGCAGGCATATGGCAGGACCTGGGGCGAGTGGGAGCTGGTCCCTGCCTCTGTGCACCCGGAGCCCGGGGTTGCAGGGAAGAGGATCCTCACTCTGCGGGAGATGAGACCACGCTGAGGGCGCACCTGAGAGGGCAGGTTCCCTTTCGGATGATTTTTCATGAAGACAGAATCTCATCTTCATTCCGAACATACTGTGTACCTGGTGCTTTTAGTACATTGACTCTTGCCCTTCTCCATAGTTTGCTTTTCTTTAACATAAAACAGTTCTCCTTCCTCACGCTCTGCACCCTCTAGCATTACCGCAATGGGGGTTTTAAGGAAATGAGCATCTGTACCATTACTTTCAACATGTGAGACCCCAGCTCTTCTTTCCTAATTTCAGGATGGCAGGTGGGAACAGAAAGGGTACTTGGGGAAAAAGGAAATCAAAACGCTCCAGGAAGAAGAGGAAAGGCCATCACCCTAGTAGTTAATAAGGTGCCAGGGCTCATTGTCCCCCTGTCCACCAGCTACCCCTGTACCCTGCGCCAGTATCTGCGTGTGAACACTCCAAGCCCCCGCCTGGCCACCGTGATGACCTTGCAGCTCTTGGAAGGCGTGGATCATCTGGTGCAGCAGGGCGTCGCACACAGAGACTTAAAGTCCGATAACATTCTCGTGGAGCTAGACACAGGTAGGCGCCCGCCGCGCCCTCAGAGCTGTCCGGGGTGCACTAGGTCTGTGAACATTTAGGGCCCTTCGGGGCCCTAATTTTTTATGTTCTATTATAAGTTGTTGGGTCTTTTTTTTTTTTTAAGATTTTATTTATTTATTTTGTTCCTCCCAAAGCCCAAGTAGATAGTTGTGTGTCATAGCTGCACATCCTTCCAGTTACTGTATGTGGGATGCGGCCTCAGCATGGCCGGAGAAGTGGTGCATCGGTGCGCGCCCGGAATCCGAACCCAGGCCGCCAGCAGCGGAGCGCGCGCACCCAACCGCCAAGCCACGGGGCCGGCCCAAGTTGTTGGGTCTTAATTTAGCTCTGTACACAGGGATGAGCAATCTTTCCTTCAAAACAAAGGCTTTCCTTCCCTGTGGGGTCTGTGGAGCCATGGTTCCCAGTTCCCAAGTTCCTTTCTGTTGCCCACTTACGGAGCAACAACCTCAGTCGGGGAAGTTTTCTTGAATAAAGGAAAAGAGAGGTAGACTTTAGCTCAACATAAGAATTTTTAAATGGTGAAAGCTGACCAAATGTAGGCCCAGCTGCCTCTGGAAATAATGAGCTCCCCATCACTGGAAGTACTCAAGTAGAAGCTGGATGGCCACTTGCCTGGATATTGTAAAGGAGATTCATACGTCTGGTAGATTTCGAACTAGAAGATTTAAAATAATTAAATTACTAGAAGAACTGGCCTTTTAAAGGAAGTCTGTATGAATCCCTTTACAAATAACTAATTCCTAGTGTGCCTGTTTCTTGGTCTGGATTTGGGGTTTAAGTTCAAATCAAAGATTCTTGGGGTGTAAGGGCCCTTAGAGGTCATTTGAGCCAAGCACCATCTGTTGAGTAAATCGTGAGCAGCTCTTTAGATCTTGGGACAGCTCCAGTTACTAGAGAATTATTTAGATTAAGCCAAGCTTTTATCCAGTTCTTGGCTTAGGGGCTTTGATTTCCCAGAGGCAGTCTGTGTTGGTGTAACTGGCCCCGTTCAGCTCTCTGGCAGGTGGGCACCCATCTAGGCCTTGCTGGCCAGCGCTCCTGGGCCAATATTGAGTCCCTGTTAGCCCCTGTCACCATGTCTTGATGGTGGCTTCAGCAGGGACGTTGGAGGCCCTCTCAGAGGGAAGGGGAGGAGAATCAGTCGCTTACCCCTCCTGTCCCTTCCCCAGACGGCTGCCCCTGGTTGGTGATCACAGATTTTGGTTGCTGCCTGGCTGATGAGCGCATCGGCCTGCGGTTGCCTTTCACCAGCTGCTATGTGGATCGGGGCGGAAACAGCTGCCTGATGGCTCCTGAGGTGAGTCCCGCTGAGCGCATCATGTGCCATCAGCTGAGACTCTTCACCGTGTCTCCACTAACTGATAGGACGACTTGATACTTCCTTATTTACTCAACACCTCCATCTTTTCTGACCCAAATTTGGCACAAGTCCCTTCCCTGCCACTTTGCTTTCATCTGGATCTCCCTAATGGTCCTGGGAGGTGTGAGTTTTGTCAGCACAAAGTAGGCGGCCTAAGCAGATTCTTCTGGGTCTGAGCCACAACTCACTCAGATTCTGGGTTCCTTGGGCCACAGTTCCGATTAGCCCATGAGTCAGGTGCTGTGCAGGAGCATGAAGAGGTTAGAAATGCCAGCAGCGTGACTGCTCACCCACTGCTCTCCGACAGGTGTCCACAGCCTGCCCTGGCCCCAGGGCGGTGATTGACTACAGCAAGGCTGATGCCTGGGCAGTGGGAGCGCTCGCCTACGAAATCTTCGGGCTCCCCAATCCCTTTTACAGCCGGGGCAGGGCCCCCCTTGAAAGCCGCAGTTACCAAGAAGCTCAGCTGCCCGCGATGCCCGAGTCAGTGCCTCGAGACGTGAGACAGCTGGTGAGGGCGCTGCTCCAGCGAGAGGCCAGCGAGGTGAGGCTGTCCCCAGGCTGTGCAGGAATCGTGTGGATGGAGACCTCAGTTCATGTTCCAGTAAAGATCAGGTTTGGGCAAGCACCAGAGGGACGGGCAGCTCCCGTCTTACAAAGGCAAAGGGCAAGTACAGGAGAACACAAAATAGGTTTTAGTATAAACAGGAGAAGGGAAGCTAGCCACCAAATTAGTCAGAATTCCAGCAATTCAACTCTTCTCGGCTTTAGTTGCTTAAGTTACTCAGAGGGAAAAAGATGCATTTTTAAGAAATGTTTAATGGAGATGGAGCTTATGGAAACAGCTGAGATCTAACGAGACAGACAGATGGGAGGATATCTCCTGAGAGCAGATCTGGACGTTGTGACGTTACTATAAACGAATATAAAGGCCAACACATTGGAAGCCATAATTGGAGTGGCAGGTCCGGTTCAGGTGGCACGAATGGTGGAAAGCGCATAGACAGACCAGGGTTCAAACTACTGTCCCACCACTTACCTCTCACTGTGCACAGCATGCTGTCATGGTCACAGTAGATGCTCACTGCTACCAGTTGTTAAGTGATGAGAGACAACTCCCCTCCCTCCAGACAGTGCTCATACACAGGAGGCGGTTCCACCAATGCAAACCGCCTCCAGGCACATTGGTGCACGGGAAAGCCTGGCGCACGGGTAGAGAGCAGCCAGGAGGTGTCAGGTGAGTGAAGCGTATCGTAGGAGACATGAGGTGGAGAAGGATTTGGTTGGGGCCCGAGAAAGGAAGCCCCTGACATGAGGACGCATTAACAAAGCGGGTTGTGGGCCGAATACTTTACCACAGGTGTTCTCAGCTTCTGCCTCCCCTCCTGTTGCAGAGACCGTCTGCCCGAGTAGCTGCTAATGTGCTTCATTTGAGCCTCTGGGGTGAACATACTCTAGCCCTGAAGAATCTGAAACTAGACAAGATGATCGGCTGGCTCCTCCAACAGTCAGCTGCCACTTTGCTGGCCGACAGGCTCACAGAGAAGAGCTGTGTGGAAACAAAAATGAAGATGTTATTTCTGGCCAACCTGGAGTATGAAGCGCTGTGCCAGGCAGCCCTCCTCCTCTACTCCTGGAGGGCAGCCCCGTGATGGCCCTGATGTAGCTGGTGCATTACTAAAGAACTTAGCATCTGTGTCTGATGGTCTGTGAATGCTGAGGGAGGGGCTCCTAGGTGAGGGGGGAGGTCAGGAGAAAAGATGGCGCAGAGAGGGCTGATCAACAAAAGAGAAGGCCACAGGTGTGGCAAATGGAAGGAACAATTTGAGTCAGACTTCACGGTCTGTAGCTACTAACTCTGGCTGTGTGATTTTGGATGAACATATACCCTGTGTGGACTAAAGTTCGCTTACCTAGAAAATGAAGACACGGGTCTAAATAAGAGTCAGCAAACTTTTCCCGTAGAAGGCCAGAGAGTAAATGCTTCAGGCTGTCGCTGCTACTCAACTCTGTCACTGCAACACGAAAGCAGCCTTAAATACGTAAACCAACAAGCACAGCCATGCACCAACAAAGCTTTATCTATGGACACTGAAATGAATTTCATGTGTCACTAAATATTTTTAATTTTTCAATCATTTTGGAAATGTAAAAACCATTTTTAGCTTGCTGGCCATACAAAAACAGGCAGCAGGCTGGATTGGCCCACAGGCCAGAGTTTGCCAACCCCTGGTCTAAATGAATTCAAAGGGCCTAATTCTAAAAAGATATGCTGACCAATCAGGAGGCTCCTTGGTGTGTCAATGCTAAAATGAGGTGAGAGCTGTGTGTGCAAATCCACAAGAGGGAGTTCTCAGCACCAGGTGAGAAGACACGCTCAGGTGTTAACCGCTGACCAAAAAGCCCAGCCTAAAGTGCATGTTCTCTTAGGCTCATGCACAGACCTCTGCCAAGTTAGTGGCCAAGCTGGCCTGGGCTGAGGAGGGTTAGACCTGTGCTCTACATGAGAGAGGACCCAGGTCTAGGCAGTGGCTGTTAGTGGTAGAGTGTGACTATGACATTTGCCCCTAGCTCCAGGAATGAACCGTGGCTCGTTTCAAAGAGGCAGCCATGACATCAGTCTGCATGTTACCTGAGCTAAAGCACACATTTGCACAGGTCAATATATTCAGGTAGCAGAATGAAAAAACATCCAAGTGAGGCCTGAGAAGTAGGGAGCCTCTGCACTTGGGTTATGCATTCTTGAACAGCTTTGGGGGTGTTTTTGAGGAAGAATTTCCATGGAGCTCCTCCAGCTACTAAAATGAGTCTAGCAGAGCTAAAATAACTGAGGAAATGGAAATTAACAGTGTAGTGTTTTAAACTTGCTAATTTCTCTTTTGACTAGCATTTCCTACAGGAATCGTGAAGAATTAAATGCAAATATACAACTGCAGAATATGTATGTGCCTTGAACTGAATATTTGGCTTTACGAGTGATTCTTATACCATAAAGACAAGAAAATCTTGTGGGCAGAGATCAACAATGGGGAAGGGATTTCACATAAAATTTCACACCTGCTCTTTAGGACGGCAGCTATGGCTTGAGCAAGGTGAACATATACTTAAGGTTCTTTTCAACCAAGCAATTCTGTAATTCTGTTATAAAGTCAAGTGCTGGGACCCTAGGTTTCCCATTTCAGTGATTCCACACCAGCCTCAGTGTTTTTTTAATTAATTACTCAATTTATTAATTTATTTATTTTGCTGGGGAAGAGTCTCCCTGAGCTAACATCTGTTGCCAATCTTCCTCTTTTTGTATGTTTGCCGCTGCCACAGCGTGGCCACCGACAGACGAGTGGTGTAGGTCCACGCCCAGGAACTAAACCCAAGCCCCCAAAGCAGAGTGTGCCAAACTTAACCACTAGACCACCGGGGCTGGCCCAGCCTCAGTGTATTATTAATATTATTTTATCCCTTGAGAAGTTAGTTAGGAAGCGCTATCATTTCATAAAGAAAGAAAATACAGTCCAGTCTTCAGCAAAATTAAGAGCCCACTCACTATTTTGTATCTAGTCACGACAACAGCATCCCCACCAACAGCAAAGTACAACAGGGGCCAGATGAAGTTAGTTTGAGGGCAATGTTTCTCTTTATTTTAGAAATGAGAGTGACTACACATATGAAAAATACCACTTAGCATTCAAGGTGGAAAAACTTACATAAAAATCATTTCCTAACCCCCACCCCTTGGTACTCAATGTCCCATCTCCCACTGAGGTAAGGCTGTGCCATTGTCCCACGGCTTAAAAAAAAAAAAAAAAAATCCCACCATAAAGGGAAAACCCCATCCTATTAAAAACCCTCTGTCTCCATGTTGTAAGGAGTCCCAGGGCTCTGGCCCCTCAGTCAGACTTTTCCTTCTCCTTCATGTGTAAGAAGACGATGCTGAAGATGAAGAGCCCCACCATCATGGAGAAGGCACTGGCGTAGTAGGGATAGGCCGACGGGATGAAGCGCTCATACTGCGTGTGCTGGAGTGGCCTCACTGACACCTGCAACAGGACAGAGGTGACGGGCCCTGGCCACTCAGAAGCCCAGGCGGGGCACATGCTGGCTGAAAACAGGGACTACAACCTGTGCTTACCTGAGTGGAAGAGTACAGGTGTGTGTAGCCCAGCCGGTTGTAATCCACTTTAAACTGGAACACACCATACACGTCAGGCAACTTGAACTGGACACTGTATTTGCCACCTGGGGAAGATCCAAGACAGATAACCAGGAGGGGTGTCCCAGTGTTTCTGTTAGCTCCCAAGAGCAAGCCGGAGGCAGGGACTGTCTTCCTGTAGCTTTCTCGTGCAAGAATCACATTTACCTTTCTTCTTCAAGAAGGTCCTCACGAAAGGATCAATGCGCACAAACTCCAGCTGAATGTCATCACCATCAAAGGGGACCCATCTGCCATCTGAGAGCTGCTCGATCACGATGCTGTACTCCTGAGATCAAAGGCGGGTTAGCCAGGGGCGGCCAGTGACTGGAGGGATGCCGCCACCCTCGCTGCACTGCATCCCCACTCATGAAACTGGCAGGAACTCCCCGGAGTTCTGAAAACCTGGGCGAGCCCCCACCACCCAGCCCTGGACAGGGACTGAGGACACCACCCAGCAGGTTAACCCTCCGACTCACATCTACACCTCTTCACAGGCCCATCGATGTCTGCACCCAAACCACACTCCTCTCCTGGAACGTGCGGGGCACTTGGGCCTCCCTGCTTCCACACTCGCTGCTGTCTTGCCTTCCCCACTTCCCTTTACTGACAGACTCATCCCCCACACCCACTCCCAGCAGAATGAATCAGCGGAGCCCCTCCCGCTTCCGCACTCCCACAGCAAAACCACACTTCTTCAAAAGGTCTCCTGTTAGGATACTGGTTTACATGCAGGCTCTCTGCACCTAGACTGACTTCTTCGGGGTAGAGGTTAACTTATTCATCCTCATTTAGACCTCTTTAGGCCCAACACAGAAGCATTCAATAAATGCTTTTGAGCTAAATCAACTTGGCCAAACCTCAGGGCCCTCCCACTCCAAGAAGCTCTTACCACGAGGTCAGTGACAGTGTAGGCATTGGGTGGGGCTGTCTCGCCCACCCGATGATGGGACACAGGCCCCACGCGGAGGACACCCTCCTCCTTGAACACCCAGCGGGAGAGGGCCACAGCTAGCTCATAGTTGCCTGTCTGGGAATACCTGCAGAAGGGAAACAGGACAGGCTAGAGCACCGGCACCAACTTCTTTCCAGTGGGGCCTCATAAGCCAGACTGATCACCAGTGTAAACGGCACTAAGCGAGTTCCTGCCTGTAGGCCATACATAGCTAGGTATCCTGACTAAAGGGAACACAGGAAAAAATGAAAAGATGTGAGGTGGTGTTGCTTTGGTGTCACCTGCACAATAAATACACAATTTTCCAATCATCTCTAGACACACCATTACTAAAAAAGTCTGGAGTGCCGACACCAGCAATACAGCAACAAAGTCAAGTCATCAAATAATTTTAAAGCACCTGAAGATACTTAGCCTCTGGGACTTCTAGCTCAAAGGCTCCTTCCTCATCCGAGTCCTCCCCATCTGCACAGACCCCACCACCCAGACCACACGGCCCTAAGCCTCCTGGCGTGTACCTCTGGGCGCCGGGCGTGGCCTTCTGCACTGCTGAGTTGAAGAAGGCATCGCTGAAGAAGTCGAGGGAGCCGCTGAAGATGACCCGGGCGTTGTTCCTGGCCTGGAGCCCGGCAATGAGGAGGGTGTTCTTCCCCACTGCATGGGGGTACTGGGAACAAGATGAGGCCGTCACCCAGGAGCGCCAGGGCAAGAGGACAGCAGGCTAGACCTGAACAACCCAGGCCCCAGCTGAGGGCGGAAGCTGAGACCCCACGGCTTCTGCCCACTTCCCGCTCCCACCAACTGCTCATTTCATCAGCCTCCGCAAAGCGTGCTGTCCCGCTTAGTTCTTATCTTCAAATAAACAAGCACTTTGCTACTGGGCCCAGGAGCTGGAGGCCTCAAGGCCGCAAAGGCCCCTCACCTGGGTGACAGGTTTATCCGGGAAGAAGGAGTAAGAGGTGGAAGAGCCCGTCAGGATGTCCAGCACCAAAGGATTGTCAGGATCGGCCACCATCCTGCAGCAGGAGAAGAGAAGTGCCCCACGCTGAGCCCAAGCACTGAGCCCAAAGGACCTGGGGGCCCCGAGGCCCATTTCTTCACAGGAATGAATCCCACTTTCTTAATAACAGCATCAGTTAACCATGAAGTCTGACTCTTAATGTCATGTCATAAATCAATCTCATCCACATCCTTTGGGGGAAAGAATGCCCCCAAATAATGACAAGTTTGGGTTGGTTTCCTGACAAAAGAAAGTGATCCCCTGTTCCCCCAGGTTTCTGCTGGCCTCTCCCTGCTCACTCACCCAACACCTCGAAAGAGGATGGGATTTAGCGATGATTTCCCAACAATGGTCGGGGCCTTCAGCAGGTTCTCAGTGTCAGCCACGATGAGCGTATGCTGCAAGGGCAGAGGGAGAGACAGGTGCTCAGGAAAAGGTGCCCCCAAGCCTGGGAGTCCCTCCCGACTCCCTCTTGGTTTCTAGGCTGAGCTTTGCTGTGAGAGCCTGACACCTGGAAGATGACAGGCCTGATTACCTGGCCAAGGTCTGAGATGTCATAGTTGTGATGGTCAATGACAGCTGTTTTCTCCTCGTCAAACTCGATGCCACACTCACTGCCCAGCTCTCGAAGAGGGTCACCTGCACAGACCCAGGAGATGCCTGGCTGAGCCCTTACAGGTGGGCCCTGGGCCAAGCAGTGTCACTTGTCCTAGCATCCTCATGACTCACTCTCCACTAGTCATCCATAGGGCCCTGCGGCTTCACTAGGCCAGGCTCAGCCCCAGCTGGACCCCTGGACAACAGCATGGTATTCTGCCTGCAGGGGTCAGAAT